CAAATTGGGACTCGAAGCGATTGAAGTCCACCGACAAAATAGGAACCGGTGGAGCCAATGAAGATGCCCTCTCAGCTGCCAGAAGTTGGCAGTATTTTAAATTGTATCCCATGGTTCCTACAGTCGGATAGTCAATCGACTCAAGCCGATGATAGGGTAGTAGTTCATGAGCTCAGCTGTATTTACGACTCATCCAGCCCCACGTTTGTGAAGACAAAAGAAACTGGGCGCAATCTGATTCAGGGCACACGTCTTTACTTTACTGCAACAATCCGGGAAGAAAAGACGATGAGCAATCGCGGGTCATGCAGGTGGGAGACAAGAGAGATTGATTCAATACGGCATCCCGCTCGGCGATCAAAGAGCCTTCTCTTCCCTCGACGGCGACCTCGAGCAGAGCTGGACGCACGATGAAACTCCGGCGCTCCCACTCGATATCGAGTCCGAAATATTTACCACAGCTGCGATGATTCACGAGGAGATGATCCCGACACTTCTCCAGGTTGCACACCGCGTGTTAATATGGTGTGTACCACACCTCCAGCCCGGCGTCCAGCGCATAAATTGATTCCTTTCCAGGATCGAGCCCTTGCTGTACAGAACGCTCGTATTTTTGGCAAACGGAGACGCGCCCGCGCGGTTATGCGGTGCAATTCAAAGGCTAGAGACAAAACCACGCGCGTTTTGGGCTCAGGTCCGCGATGCCACTATGTGGCGTGATAGACGGGAGGCGATGGACATGGACGACCTTCTGTTGAGCTGCACCAATATCAAAAAATTGAGCTTGCGGACGGTGAATTCGCGACTGGTCGATTGTATCTCGTCGTTGCGGCTGCAACGCTTGACCTCACCCGTGTGGTCGCTCCTGCTGCCCACATGTGCCTTCCTCACTCACCTGCATGTTATCGCCTGGGACGGGAATGCTGTCTTTTTGTGGATCAGCACCCTTCCCTCCCTCACGCCCCTCTGTCTGACCAACCCGTCGCTTATTTACCGTCCTTCAATCGAATCGAATTTCAACAACAGCAGGCAACTTCGCGTCTGTGTCCTTTCCTTCAGCCGATGGTATCAAGATGACCCTGATCCTTGGATCGACCAGGATCGTGTTGTGCTTATGCGCTTCACTGTGGACGACAATAATTACGCCCGGGACTGGAAATTGGGCGTGACCGGTGGCAGAGACTTCTGGGTCCGTGCGGAGGGATTAATATTCTTAGCGGCTAAACAGGAACGATGAGAGCATCAGTAAGTTGCCTCTTCTTTCCATGTCAAATCGTCCATATTGACCAGTGTCATCAGCAACTCAAATATGCGGTGTGAATTGGTGACACGCATCCGTAATCCCGAAGTTCTTGTATTTTTTCGACTCGACCGTGATGGAGATTTTGATTCTCCGAATTTAACGCGCAATCTGTGCACCCATCCCTAACACAAGACGTCACTACCCCCCAGCGACACAGACGGCGTTTCGAGATGTCCCATGCAAAGCAATGCATCGCGATCGTGTTTTCCGACCTGTATCGCAAACACGTTCCGTACGAGTCTCGTTCTCTACCACATCCCGTGTTCATTTCTCAGAGCTGCTAGTACTGGGATCCACAGTGCTCTCGTTCACGTTCGACCAGCCCACTCACGATATGTGTCCCCTCTTTCAAGGTTCCTCTTGGTCTGAACCAGGTGTACACCATCGCCGCAGCCTTCATCACGGACTGCCCGTCCACCAACCCCAAACTTCCCGTCATGGCTTTCCCCACCCTCAAGGTCACCACGACGCGGTACTCCCCCGGCAAGAATATCTCCCTCGAGTTCACGCCCTCTACACCCGTCGCGGCCGGCACCCCGCTCCACGTCGCATTCTACACTGGCCTGTCTGTTGAGTACGCGCCTCTCACCTCCGACAACAAGGTTGTCATCCCCGAAGATCTCCTCGGGCAGGTGTACGCTGTCGTAACCACCAACGGCACCGCGGTGCACGACGGTGATACGCTCGCCGGGCTTGAGTTCAACTCTTCTGGGAAACTTATGATGTAAATGGACATCGAACATTTCTCTCTCTCTCTCTAGGAATTCACGATACCATCTTGCTATGTATTCGCAAACATATTCGCATTACTCTGTTCTGCTACAAATATACCAGTCTAATACACACTGAATTAGATTTGGAATCTAAGTCTTCGTTGCATTAAGCCTCCAAATATGCGTCCGAATTCTTTACTCCCATCTTTATGGCCACTCACTCGGTCGCCAATAGCCTGTTCAACAAAGGTATCAAAGCTCTGAACCGTGCACCGAAATTCAATTCAGACTTGTTGAACGATGTGCCCGGAAGTCGCCGAAAGATAGGATCCCCGCTATGTACTATGTAATTCCAGTTTCCCTCTTGCACTCGGATACAAAGTGGAATCTCAGCGGAACACAAAAGGAGAATGGACAAAATACAGGCGGTAATTAGGAAGGGCTCTAGAGGTAAACGATTGAGGAATACAGGCAGAAATACAGTCCAATAGGAGCGTACAGTAAGGAAATAACACAGAGTGCGATGAAGGACTGCAAAAGAGAGACAATACAAGGGTTGCGCTACATGACATCCTCAACTACAACATCGTGGGGGCTGGCGGGAATTATTGAACATCGATATGGGTATCACTGATTTGCTGGAGTCAAGGGGCGGCGTGGTCCTGTCGTGTTTCCTGGGGAGAGGTTCGTCTTGCGGACAATTCAGAAACATACTCCTGGCGAGGGTAGACGAATACACACCGTGGGAGTTCCGTGACGGCCGTCCTTCTTGGGACTGCTGGGTCCGGCGGCAGAAATGGTCTGGTTCAGATTGTAAGGTTCAGTGGTTTGCTGGACGTCAGAGAGCGAGGCAACTCACCAAAGCCGCGAGGTGCTGCTCCAGCTGTGCACCGAGATCCTGATCAACAAAGGCCGAGCGGATCGTGGTCTACAGAAAAAAATCAGTGGGTAACATGGGTAAAGAGTGCAGGCTCTTACGCGTGCAGAGATCTGTAATTTCCGAATTTTGGTCAGCGGTGCTAATTTTAGCGAAATATGGATGACTTACCTGTGCAGCAGGCATGAGATACGCTTGCACCGCGGCCATCTGGCTCTGATTTACAAGGAGTTTCGTCAGAGGGATGCACCGAAAGGAAGAACAAAACGGCACCTCATCCTGCGGGCGTTCGTCCACGGCGTCAGGAAGACCCAGTTCAGCCTCGATGTTGCTGAGACTCGGTATCTCAGCCCAGATCGAGAACGGCTGAAGTCAGGAAATCATTGTTGAGCGTTCAAAGCGCCTAGTGATAAGAACGGCTGCGTACCTCCAGCTCGTCTCCTTGGCGAGACGCTTGTCTGAGACGTAGCGGAGCCGCCCTGTGTAGAGCGGCTGGGTTGAGGGGGCTCAGGCTGCTGGAACGGAAAGCAGGAATCTGGGATGAAACGTGATTGAGTCACAACTCAAAGAACACAGCGAACAGGACCTTACGGCGGGCGGGGAGTAGAAAATGACTCCACGGGAGACATCGGCGGATTTGTCTGAGTCGTCTTCCTCGTCGGCCGCCTGCAGGTCGCGCAGATTCGTGAGGAACCGGACGACTGAAACGCAAAGTTGGTTGCGGAGGGTGAAACGAGATAACTGTACGCACGCGAAGACTTGCGACCCTCTCGCTCGCTGTCCAAATCTACCTCAACCACAGCCTCCACCGTCTTTGTTGACTTCCGGGCCGTCTTGCGTGGTGGTTTGTAGCTGGCAGTTTGTTCTGTGAAGGACAACACATGTCGGGTGTGGACGAGACGCACCTGAGCGCATACGCGGCAGTCGCGACTTCTACAAGGGGCCCGAAAATGGTCTTGAGCCATGTTATGATCGCGTCCGTGTTCTTTCCCACCGATCTCCAAGCGTGTCCGACGAAAGCAAGGAACCCAGCCTCGACGTTTTCAAGCCCGCCCCGGAGTATTCTGTCTTCTGATTTAACCATCACGGCCTTCAGGACCTCGGGTGAGGTTACAGCCTGCCGCACGGTCTAAAGATGCGTCAAACCTCGCGTCTGACAGTTGATGACGGCGTGGCTCCAATGTGGCTCTCACTTCGAGGAACCCGGCAGGGTTGGTGAGTAGGTCTTCCGAGAAAAGAGTAAACAGCACGAATTCAAACACCTCCTTCCCGTGTATGCGCAGGCCGTCCCCGGGAGACAGCGCGTCCTCGGTAGTCGGCGTGGCGGTCGCGTCGGTAACAAGTTGGTCCCAATCCTCCGGAAAGACCGATGGAAACTGCGGCGGGTCGTACTTGGAAGAATTCACATAGTTCAGAAGGGCACGCTTCACTGCGGCGAGAGCCATGGCGGCGGAAGTGGCGTGAAAGGGCGGGTGGTGGAAGAAGAAGAAAGGCCGAGCTGCATCGCCACTGATGCGTCAAATGCTTCCTGCGCTCCATAAGGCTATTGTACTGATTAGGGTTGGATCCGCGGAATCACAGCTGAATCGGGTTGGATAGCGTTGAATGGCACAAGTAGGGGACTTATCGAGTTCCAAGATCCTTTGGTGGAAATGGCTAAAGAACCCCGGACGGAAGTATCACCAGTCAACAGCCGGGAGGGCATATATTCACTAGAAATTCAGTCCTTTCGTCGTTACTATAGTTCAGTGGTAGAACAGCCCGCACAAAGATTCTCCTAATCCGATTATCCGACGGCGGGATGACGTGGGTTCGATTCCCGCTGGTGCGACCACGGTGCCGGATCCCGGGTGTGACGTTCAGCCCCGCATCCGCGAGAAATGCAGTACATCCTTCATCCGGTGGATTCACCTCCTGCATTTCATTAACAGTAAAGTTGTGTCTTTTTTGTTTTGTTTTGAGCACTTCAAACGTGCTCTTGAACCCAGCCGGAATTTGAAGAACTTTCATAAAGGACAACATCGTGTTTCCGCACCACAGTCTGGCGGAGTGATATATCGTTGGTGCGCAAAGTCCACAAAAAATCATGCGCTTTCCCAGGTCATCATGCCTCCGAGAGGAATCGAACCCCTGCTCCTCAATAAATCATGATGACACCCTCCATCGCGTTGAGGCGATGACCAGATCTACGGAGGCTTCGTGGCTCTGTTCAATCTCGGATGTCACAACCGAACGACAAAAAGAGTGGACAAACAGTTTGAATTTCAAGAAGTTGACTGTTGAACGGAGCTCAACATTTTGAAATGAAGCAGCTCTCTTGCAATGTCCACCCAACAAACCAACACACATTCACGAGCCGGGCCAAAACACAGGAGCAACTGGCCGTGCCTCCGAGAGGAATCGAACCTCTGCTGCTCAAGAACTGATTTGAACGCGACAACTCAGAATCACGTTGAGACGATCGCCAGATCCACGAAGGCTTCAGGTTCTGTCTTATTCCTTCGGATGGGCGCTAAAAATGGAGAGGAGTGTTGTCCCGTACTTCGAATGAAACCTCGGCATCAACCGTAGCAATGTTCTTTCATGTGATTGAACTTGATTGAACTGATGTCTCGACTAATCCTTTTACGCTCGTCAACGAACGACCCACTGGAAACCACCAGACCATTCGAACAAAAAGAAAAGCCTAACCCCGTATGCCTCCGAGAGGAATCGAACCTCTGCCCTCAAAGATCAGCGACTGACAACATCTGTCGGTTCGAGGTGTTCACCAGATCCACGGAGGCTTTATTTGTCCCCCCGTGAAGGACACTGCTGGAAGCTTGAAGTTCAAGAGTTCAAGCCTAAGGAACTGAGGCGCGAAGCGTCTACCAAACCTACCTAGTCTAGAGATAAGCTTCCTGGATGTGTTCATAATTAATTGCGATGACTTCATGCGATAGCTTCTCCCAACGTATCTCCCCACGTGGTTCGTACATCTAACATGCGAGGTACGAGCATCCGTGTTAGAGCGTCTGTCTACGAGAGACTAGTTTGTACATGTCCCCTGCAAAACGTCCAAGTGCAAGGTAAAAGACATCTTGAGCATATGACGGTATTTATCGTCAAAAATTATGTACGCATCTCTGTGTACAGCGCAGACACCACGGGAGCACTGAAATGTGAGTAAGTGCTCATTTTGGTGCACATTTGGGGCGGAAATGTACATTACAGTGTGCACATTGTGCTGCACAATTCAACATTCTACTTGCCACAATGAACATTCCATTGACTCCACAGAGCACTCATAAGTCGACCTGAGCTTTCTCTGGTGGTCCCCCACGCTTGAAATGTACACACCGACACTGTATATCCATGGATCCGACCTCAAGTGAACAGGTTGGATTGATGCCATCAAAGTTGGTTTTGCCGCTGGTTGTTGGGAACCGGCGAACATAGATACATTGGTGTTCGAATTCAGGGACACATGGAAGGTCTCAGGATATCAGTATATGCTCTGGGCATTCTTGAATTGATGTCCTTCTTCTGAAGCATAATTTCTACCGCCTAAATATCATCAACCCTACCGTCTTTGCAACAAGGACTCTCAGCAATGGAGTTGCCGAATCCAAATCATTGATCCTTAGACAACCTCCGGCTGATCTCTCCGCCATTTAAGCGTGGGATTGCCATCATACACTGCGAAAAAGTAGTGTGTTGCTGGGCGAAGGTGCACAGTGGTGTGTTGTGTGCGGACGCACCAAATGCAGATAATTTTTGACGAAAAAAGCTTTTATATGAGCAGGCCTCATGCCTCCTAGAGGAGTCGAACCTCTGCGCCTCATTGATGAGTCTATTCAGTAAACCAACGACCATTGGTTTGAGGTGATTCCCAGATCCACGAAGGCTTCATTGATCCGGTTCACCCCTGGTGTCATGATTCGACAGGACGACACTTTCTTCACTTCCTTTTTCGCCAATAACCCGTCTTCGGGTTATTGCCCATGGGATCGAGATATCCAACCACTGGGACAACCCACCACATACACAGCTTGGGTCATCGAATACAACCCAACAGGAAGACACATCACACTCTCCGACAAACGGAACCATACAACCTATGGCGGGTTATTGCCTGTGCGATAACCCGGACCCCTTAACCTTGCATTCATGTGGAACACTCCTTGATGGGCAGGTACACTCCTAGGTGCCCATCGACCCCTGGACTCCTCATACTAGGAGTATACAACCCTTTATGCCAGGAGTGGCTGCCTCCTAGGAGGACAGGAGGACAGGTCCCTGACTTTCTCTATTATGACTCCTTACTCGGCGCCCCTGTATTAACCCTTTATGACAGGGTCACACTTGTTCCTGTGATCGGACTCCTATACGATACAGTATATAACTCGCAGTAGAATCTCCATGTACAGTAGATTCTATCTCGTCTATTCTCCGGCCTTACTTTGGCCTTGACTGGACTTGTGTGTGACTTGAGCTGGGCTCGCTTCAGTCTATCTCGTTGCCTTGGGTTCTGCTTCACTGTGTCTCTGGTTCTGACTGGCAAACCCCTGGCTCCTATCCTCGACTCCTCGATCCTCGATGAACGATTGGTGATCACGGCCTTAGCGCTTAGTGGTTCAATGTCGGAACAACCTTCACTCGCCAAATGCCAGGACCCTTTGCGGTGCAACCGCGAGGGCCTGACGGGCTACGAAGCTCATACCAACATCTGCCACCAATCTCTGTTGGCCTACCACACTCGTGTCATGGGCTCCGAGTCGGAGTGTCCGCATACGCTCCTTCGGACACACCCTGTAGACGGTTCTCCGTTGCACGACTCCCCGGAACCCCCTGCGATAACCCGGCCACTGGCAGCATCTCGGGCCCCCTTATGCCCGGGTTATCGGAGTGTGACATGCTGGTCACACTCCGGAATATTCTTCCCACGGTTCGATTTCGGGTTCAACCTCGGCAGAACACCTACAGTCGGTCACGCACCATCGGGTGGTGACGTATTCCTCCTCCAACACCTGCGCTGGGACACCGGTTATGTTGCGGTCAGGCTGACCTAAGCGCCGTCGCTGACAATCGGATTGCAATTTCAAAGGCACACCCTCGCTTGGTTGTCGCATGACAACAACTGCCATGTTTACTGGTTCTCCAGGGCAGATATAGAGTTGGTTCGACCGCTTCGAGTCCCAGGTAAGGAGACTTTGTGTCTGATCCATTGGAATGCTTGAACTGAATATTGTTGTTGCGGACAAGACGTTGTTCGCGAGTACTGGCTCTGGTGCGACTATTCGGCAAAGTGGTTGCGAGACAAGTACGAGAGTCACGAGCTCGATCACTTGTCAATATCCGCTGTTTTATCTGGAGCAGGGAATCATCCCTGGCGTGGGGTGGGAAGATATTCATTAGATGAGATTACATGTCGAGCAGGTATGCTTAGTATTTTCTCCCTTTAGGCACATCGCTGACCGTCACATCGAGGGATTCCTTTGTGGACATTGTTCGGAGAAGTACTTGCTAATCCGGCCAAGCTAGCCGCCTTGCTGGATACTTTCTTTTTGTTTGTGCTTGAACGGTTCGTAGCGGTGGAGTAAGTCTTCCTGTGTATTTGCTTGATATACGCCTCACAATATATTTCAGCGAAATTTTGGCCGAGAGCAAGAAACTGAACAAATACCGAGGCTCGGACTCGTTTCTTTTGATATCGACCAAAAAAGCGGTGTTGAAGTTCATTGTTCGTTATCGCTCGCTTTCCAACTGAACTGATTACAACTTTATAGATACAATCGGATGCTGGCGGTACATCGACAGCTGATTTGGAACACCAGTAGTAGAACAAAGAGACTGGTCCGACGATACAATGTGAGTGGGCGGGTTTAGTTTAATTGGTTATCAATTTTGCCGAAGCTGACTTGCGGAACAGCGACTGAGTGTGTGTTCATTCGACCAGGCCCGGAAAATGCAAGAGGCAAAAAAATTACAAGAGGCAAAACTCGCAGAGGCAAAGCTCGCAGCATTATCGGCTTCGATGACGCGCACTACACCGTCAAGCGACGAAGCACCCCTTGAAACCATCGAAAGCACAGAGACTAACAACATCCAGATGACAGCTGGGGAACCGTCATCCACACAAGCGCCCACTCCTGATATTCCTACCGAGATCATCGACGAACTCGCCATGGTCGACGCACCGTGGCCATTTGATCTGGGGGAACTGGCACCTGTGTTATTGCTGTTCGGACATATGGGGCCATCCATAGTCGGCAGTCAAGATAGGTGGAACGAGCTGTATGAACAGGAGAAGGTGATCGCGACCACAGAGGACATGAAAAATACATACAAGATTCTGAACAAGCGGTCGGATCTGACACCGATTCAAAAACTGACGTTCAAACCAGCCGTGGATTTAACTGCAGAAGAACGAGCACAGTTGATCAGCGAATTCGGATCGGACGTTCACCCGCTTGTACAGCTCTTGGAGCATCGCCGCCTCAACCCTGGCGCGTTTGGATACCGAGCTGCGAAAGTAGAGCGCACAGTGGGGGGGCAAAGCAAGCGCAAGGGAAAGGGGAAAGGGAAAAGAGGTGCAGACGAGATGGGTGAGGAATTGGCCAAGCTGTTCAAGAGACAGAGAACAGCGACCACAGGTGAGTTCCGCAATTCAGGGAGATGGTAGTACTGAAAGATTGCAGGCGCGGACGACACAGAAGATGACATCTTTGAAGGCCCTCTTCCTGAGCTTACCGACAGCGAGGACGAAGAGGAGGAGATAGACGATGATGGACAGGAGTCGGTGGAAAGGGACATCGATCCGATGCTAGAACGAGAGGAGGCGTTGGACGATGTGGGTGCAGACGGTGCGCTAGTGTTATCTAACCGTGAAATCTTGGGTTAACCCATTGCAGGAACATGGGAAACTGGGCCATTGACCCTTGTCCGTGACTCCAATCGTGCAAAATGTCCCACACGTCTCTGCAAGTCGAATGAAGGCCACGCTTGGACGGTACTGAAGCCACCAAGAAGTGCAGTCCGTCTGGCGGGGAGCGATGCAATGGTAGCAGCCATTGTGTTCCGTGAGAAGGCTGACCGGGAGCGCAAGACGTTGCGATTCGTCAAGGAAAACTCAAGGCTTTATACAGTGGGTCCCATGGATTTTTGCGGGCATGCTAAAGCTGCCAAGGTTGGTCAAGGATGGTGCGTGTTTGTTT